TAGCATTCGACAATTAGGTGTTAAACTTCATGTGATTCTAAATCTTCTAAAGTTTTTGCAAATTATTTAGCAATTTTTAAGGTCGTTTTTTGAAAATAAAGTTAAAAAAGGATTGGTTTTGAAAATTTGTCCTCCCATACGACAACACGTTGCTAGTGGGACTAGGATTGTGGATTCGAAGTAGGACAAAGGATATTAGGTTTTATTATTATTATTATTAAAACCATCCGTAAAATAAGTCAAATTGATAAAGCAACTTCCTGAAGTGGGTTAGTCTTCAATCAACTACTTTTTGTAAAATTTTACTCAATTAATATCTTAATTATCAAAACTATCCTCACTAATTATTGGAAAGTATGTGTTAAGATGCATGCAATTAATGAGGGTAGTTTGGATATTTTGGGTATAGTTGAGCAGAATTTGGCAAAAAGTGGTTGATTGAAAACTATACCCACTTATAAGATAATTTACGCTTAAAAAACTTTAAAGATGGATCAATTCGACCTATTTTAAAGATAATTTTAATGAAAAAAATCCAGGATGTTACTATACCTCTTATCTATATATATGGCAGCCAAAAAACTTGGTTTGGAGACTCCTACCTTCGAGAGAGAGAGCTTGAGTTCAAGCCCTCTTACCATCAAGAAAATTTAACCCTTTCAATAAAACCCCGCGAATTGAGACACTCCTCACATTCAAATAATAACATGTACATATGTCAAGAAAGATACAGAAAAAGCACGAATACTTTCTAATTATTTCAAGTTTTACTTTGGAGTAAAACTCTGCTATTTCTTTTCTTATTTTTTATTTTTCATATTTTTATTTTCTCCGTTTTCTTTCTCACTGATGGTTATCACCATTATTAGAGAAATTCTATGAGATCAGATCATCTCTCCTCTTACTCTCTTTATATGTCAGATTGGATCATCTCTCCTCTTACTCTTTTTATATGATATTTTCTTTGTTTACCGAAAATTATAATTATATAATTAACTTAAAAGTAAAGAAATTATAGATCCATAATTTACTATAAAAAAATAAGATTGGAAACGATGCGGAAAGAGATTTGGGAGAGCTAGATAAGAAGGAAAATATGAAAACCTTCAATTTTTTAGACTTGTACTGTATTAAAAAAAAAATCAAAAGACTCGCAATAACATATATATTATAATAATCATGGACAATCTTATAGTCCAACCAAAAGTTATTTAATAGCAATTAACATTCTAGTAGACATTTATTGGTCAATAATGGTTTGTTTAAAAATACATAAATAGTATTTATATCATCAAAATGTGTAGGAGATATATACTTTGTGATTACCAAAAACTATCCCACGTACATCATTTTATCAGTATATTATGCATAACAAAATCGTTCCTAATCATCCTAAAAAATATCCCACTTGTAAAAAAAAATGTCCTACTTCAATAATTATCTTACTCCTCGTGAAAACGACTCAACTGACTTAACACCCTCAACTAGAAAAGTCATGTAATGAGATTCTTATTAATCAGTTAATGACGCAGTTGCAATTGTTGATTAAGAACACTGTTTCTGTGCTTTTTGCAAAGGAGCATAGGATTGTTTGGGGACTTGAGACGAATTCATACGTATATATCGTTTATGAAATTGTCGATTCGAAACTGAGTTATGAATAATTTGATGGGGTTTTGCATGTATGCCTCTCAAAATTCCGTATCTGCAAATCTACCCTACAATCTTGTTATTTGCAAAGTTGCGCCAAACTCTCTCGCTTCCCTCTTACTTTGACGATTTGAGTACGTAAATAGAAAATGTTCTATTGGAAATTATTGAGAAACATCGGTATTATCCTATTTGGAAACCGATATTGTTAAGTCGGAGGGGCAAACCCAACAATGTGAAAGAGTAGGACGGTAATTTGCAAACACTTCGGAGGGTATATATGCAAAAACCCCATAATTTACATAGCTTGGCAAGGTTAAAGGTGGCGGTTTAGTGTAGGGGTGTCCAAAAAGCCCGGTGTCCGGCCCGGGCCCGGGCCCGGAAACCCGGGTCCGGGCCCAGGTCGCCGTTGACGAGCCCTGTCCGGGCCCGGCCCGGGCCCGGAACAGTGCCCAAATTGGGCACTGGGGCTTCGAATGGCCGGGCCGGGCCGGGCCGGCCCGGCCAAAACGGTCACAAACGTGAACAAAACTCATCTATTTCTCTCTCTACTACTCTCTTATACAATCTTATACTATCTCATACTAATATACTATCCTATAATCTTTTGTATTTTCTAATACTTCCAACAAATGGCTTCTGGGTCTGATTATGAAGAGCAACATGCATCTCCTACCGATCCAGAGATGAGTCCTCCTACAACAACTCCTCATCCTACCGATGTTAATCCTGAATCTGGTGGCGACGAATCTACGGCACCAAGAGCTCCAAAAAGGTCGAGGTCTTATGTATGGAATTTTTTTGAGAAGATAGACGTCACCAAGGATGAACACGGTAGGATCATCTCTCAGAATGCGAAATGTGCGCTGTGCGGCCAGATATTCAAAGCTCATCATAAGAGCGGCACCAACCATCTCAAACGGCATATTGAAAAACACAACAAAGGCCAAAATCTACAAGGTGATATCCGGCAGTCTATGCTTTCCCAATCATCCTCTTCAGGTACCCTCGGCAGTTGGAATTATGACGCTGCCCGAGCCCGGAAATGCGTAATCAGGTTTATTGTTCTTAAAAACCTTCCTTTTAAATTAGTAGAAGATGATGAATTTGAAGATTTGTTTAGAGATGGTTTTTATCCTACATTTACAAAATTTTCTCGTCAAACCTGTCAACGTGATATTTTAAAATATTATGTTGAGGAACAGGGAAAAATAATTTCTTATTTTAAAAATTTAAACTGCAAATTTTCTTTAACTTCTGATATTTGGTCATCTAGAGTGCAAACTGGTTATTTATGTATAACAGCACACTGGATTGATGAAAGTTGGAAAATGTTTAAAAGAGTTGTTTCTTTTATTGCAATTGAAGAGTCACACACTGGTATTAATGTTGCAAATTTAATTGTTGAAGAACTTATGAAACTAGAAATTGATCAAAGAATATTTACTCTTTCACTAGATAATGCAAGTAATAATAATGTAGCTGTTGATTTTCTGAAAATAACTTTGTCATTGCCATGTCATGGTGAGCTTTTTCATGTTAGATGTATCTGTCATATTTTAAATTTAATTGTTCAAAGTGCATTTTCTGAAATTAAACCCATGATAGAAAAAGTTAGAACAGTTGCTAATATGCATAATGCTTCTGAAATGAGAATTAAAAGATGGAAACAATGTTGTAAAAGAAAAAATTATAAGCCTAGACTAATTCCAAAAGATGTTGACCATATGTGAAATTCCACCTATGCAATGTTATCTGTAGGAATAGAATATAAAGAAATTATAAATGATTTTATAAATTTTTATGCTTCTAGTTCTAACTCTGGTAGTGCTTATGGAATAATTGAAGATGAATGGACAGTTATATGTAAATTAAATGAGATGTTACAAGTTTTTTATGATGCTACTATGTTATTATCTGGTTGTTATTATCCAACTATTACTTTAGCTGCTTTATAAATTTTAAATATTCAAAATTTTTTTGCAAAATATCGTATGGATGATATTTTTGGAAATATAATTTTTTAAATGGAGAGTAAATTTAATAAGTATTTTAGGCCTATTCCTCATATTTTTGGTATTGGTGTTCTTATTGATCCATGCTTGAAGGATATTGGCCTTCGAAGTTTGTTACAATCATTGTATGGTGGACAGATTATAGACTTAGATGATGGATCCACCCTTACTGCTACTGCTCATCATTTAGCTATTAGAAATTATTTTCAAACCTTATATGATGAGTATCCAGCTAGATATGGTGTAGCTACACAACAGTCTATAGCTTCGGCATCTTCAGCTTCGAGCACTGGTCGAGGTAAAAGTATAAGTTTTGATAGGTATGCAATGGTAGCTGAACTAACTGGTGGATCTGGAACTATAATGCTTCTGAAATGAGAATTAAAAGATGGAAACAATGTTGTAAAAGAAAAAATTATAAGCCTAGACTAATTCCAAAAGATGTTGACCATATGTGAAATTCCACCTATGCAATGTTATCTGTAGGAATAGAATATAAAGAAATTATAAATGATTTTATAAATTTTTATGCTTCTAGTTCTAACTCTGGTAGTGCTTATGGAATAATTGAAGATGAATGGTACAATCATTGTATGGTGGACAGATTATAGACTTAGATGATGGATCCACCCTTACTGCTACTACTCATTATTTAGCTATTAGAAATTATTTTCAAACCTTATATGATGAGTATGCAGCTAGATATGGTGTAGCTACACAACAGTCTTCAGCTTCGGCACCTTCAGCTTCGAGCACAGGTCGAGGTAAAAGTGTAAGTTTTGATAGGTATGCAATGGTAGCTGAACTAACTGGTGGATCTGGAACTTCATCAGGATTAGATGTTTCTGAAATAGATGAATATTTTTCTGCTTCTTTAGTTAGATGTCAAGGAAATGCTTTAGATATTTTGCAATGGTGGAAAGTATATGGATCAGTTTCATATCCTATACTTTCCACCATGGTTCGTGACTTACTATCAGTGCAGGTTTCGACTGTAGCCTCGGAATCCGCTTTCAGCACAGCAGGACGTTTGATCGACGACCACAGGACATGCTTAGATCCGTATACTGTACAAGCGGTGATGTGCTTACAGGATTGGTGGAGATACGAGAAGCGAACACAAGGCATCGAACGGATTGCTATGATTGAAGATAAATTTGAAGAGTTGGGACTAGCAGATAGATATAATGATTAGATAATATTCATAAAATTGTAATTTTTATTTCTTAGCTTTAAATTTGAATTAAATTATTTTGAAAAAAGTTACAAATGATAGTGATATGGGTGAGTAGGTGCCAACCTAGTTGGGATGTACTCATCTATTGTGATGCGACGAATTTCGAAATAAATTTATACTTGTAAAGGATTTACCGATTATTAATAAAGAAGTTATTTTTATCATTTTTTGTACTTGTAATTTATGTCATTTCATTTCAAGTTATTAATTAAATTTATGATATTTTTTATAATAATTTATGATTTATGGTTTTGTTAAAATTTTAAAAAAAATAAAAATAAAAAAATTATAAAAAAAACAAACCGGGCCGGGCCGGTGTCCGGCCCGCTCAGTGTTTAGTGGTTGGTCGAGATGAAAAGGAGTTTTTAGGATTTTTTCACTTTGATATCGCAAAGTTTCAACTTTTTTTTTGATACGCTAAAGCTTCAACCTAACTTATTTTCTTTGATACCGAATTTTGATACGCTAAGGGGGTGTTCGTTTCACATTTTTTATGGAATAGGAATAAGAATTGAATGTGATATGGGCAAAATCGTAAATAAAGAATTTTTTATGAATCCTATTCCCCAGTTTGGTTCACAACAAATTTATAGATTTCGAAATCTATAAAGTTGAAAAATTATGGTGATTTTATAGAAACCAAAATCCTAATGATTTGGGAGGATTTGGGGCAAAAAGCTGACACACACGTACTATTTTCCCTCTTTTTTTCGGATTCCGTTTATTCACAAATCCTATATTATTATGAGACCGAATCCTATTCTTATTCCTAACCAAACTAGAGAATAGGAATCAGAGGGTTTCTATAAAGTTAGATTCTATTTTTTCATGTTATGAAACAAACATAGAAAGGAAAACAAAAGGATTCCATGAATCCATAAACTTGTCTTAAAACTTTTTATGGATTTGGTAAGAATCCCGTACAAAAATCAGATTACAAATCCTATTCT